CACTCAGAGAGGCGGAGTAAGCGGCCCAGGTTCCCACTGCTGCTTCTAGCAGAGCTGAGGTTCAAACCCAGGCCTGGCTGACTCCCAGACCTGTTCTCTTAACTTCCTCCCTTCTATGGGCACCTGGGGCCCCCGCTAAACTCACCCAGCCCTGAGGAAAGAATCTTCCAGCCCATTCGTCTGGAGCATGAGCTGGAAGCTGGAAAATGTGTGCTCCCCCAGTGCTCATGAAGGGGGAGCTTACACTGTGAAGCCTGGGACTAACTGGGGAGGTTCCTGTAATAAGAATTTGGCTCATAGTAGGCACTCAATAAATGTTTGCCAAGCAGCCTCACCGAACGCGACCTCCATGGGAAAAGGCAGTCCCTGGAGGAATCCCGGGGCCTGTAATTGCTTTTGACAGAGGAAGGTTTCCTGGCCACATTAGACTCACGTTACTGTAATGGGAAGGGAAGATTTAACAGGCCCCGGGGACTTTTCCATGTTCCCGCCCTTTCCCCATAAAAGAAGAAAAGCCTCATTTGTGGCTTGAAATAGGCCAAGGAGGGCTGAATACGACCCAGCAGGAGGCTCCCAGGGGGCCGGCTCACTTCAGTCCATGCTGACAGAAGAATTTGAGTAAATGAGCCTGCTTCGGGTCTCCTCCCCCAAGTCTGTTTAACATCACACGCCGGCGGCAGGGGCCGGACGCAGCTGAGGCTGCACCTGGAAGTGGGGGCCTCCGCGAGGCTGTGGGTGCCATTTGAATCCCTGCTTCATGCAGGTTGGCAACTGCCAAGAAAAACAACTCCACGAACAGGCCTGCCGGCCTAATAAGCGTTCGTTTCACCCCCTTGCAGAAAGGCTTGTGCCGGCAGAGTCTGAAGGAGCCCGGGCCAGCCCAATTTAAATGGCATTAGCCCCGGGATCTCCGTCCACTAAGGAGCAGTATTTCAAGTCAGCAGCCCCACCTGGACTACATGAGACCGCGTGCTAGAGAAATGCTCTGTAAATGTTCAGGGCGGTCATTATTATGGCTCTTATTGTTATTCGTTTAGCCTTTATAAATGGAAACTGCTAGGTGAATAAATTGATTTTAATAAGGCCCAATTCCAACATTTGCTGACTTGGTATTTTAAATGCTTATGACCCATCAGGGTGGGAGAGGGGAGAGTAAACAATGCTGTGTTATTTCACAAATCCTCAGGTGCCACCACCATCTCTGCGACAAGCAGATGGTCCCAAGAGCCCAAAGTCGGTAGGTGGGAGAGTCAAACACAGAGAGGCGAGGATTCGTGTTTATGGGCAGGGTGTGCACACTGCAGGCTGTTTGCTTGCTGTGTGCCAGGCCCTAGGATACAGCGATGGGCAAGACCTGGTTGTGCCCTCAGACTCTAGTGAGAAACAACACTGCAATCGAGGATGATGCATGATTGCCTGATGTGACCTGCGGTGGGGTGGAGATCTGGGGAGCCGCTCCACTGCAGATGACCACTGACTAGATCCAGAAGGAGCGGGCAGAGCTCAGTGGGCAGAAGAAGGGGAGGGCATCCTAGCAGAGGGAACAGTGTGGCCAAAAGCAAGGGACTAGAAGAGAGGGTGGGAGGTTCTGATGCAGGCAAGCGGTTGAGTGGTCCGAGCATAAAAGGCAACTTTTGGCCAGGCATGGTGACTCACACATGTAATCCCAGTGCTTTGGAAGGCCCAAGGCAGGTTGATCACTTGAGCTCAAGAGTTCAAGACTAGCCTGGGCAACACAGCAAAATCCCATCTCTACAAAAAATACAAAAATTAGCCATGTGTGGTGGTGCACACCTGTAGTCCCAGCTACTCAGGAGGCTGAAGTGGAAGGATCGCTTGAGCCTGGGAGGCAGAGGTTGCAGTGAGCTATGATCGCACCACTGCACTCCAGCCTGGGTGACAGAGTGAGACCCTGTCTCAAATTAAAAATAAATTAATTAAAATATTAGCCAGGCACGGTGGTACGTGCCTGTCGTCCTAGCTACTTGGGAGGCTGAGGTGGGGGGATTGCTTGAGCGCAGAAGTTTGAGCTTACAGTGAGCTGTGACCACACCTCTGCACTCCAGCCTGAGTAACAGAATGAGACTCTGTCTAAAATAATGATAAATAAGAATTTCAATAAAGCTGTAAACAGTATTTTAAAAATAACTGAAACACACATGCAAAAAGCAGTCTGAGGCCAGTCGCAAAGGCTTTCAGATGGCCTGGGTGAGAACAAGGCAGCATGTAGCACAAACAAACGACAAGATGTTTCAGTCTCAGAGAAGATTAAAGAGCTGACATTTGCAGAGGGCTTGCTGTGTGCCAGGCCCCTGCTAGGCCTGTACTGTGCAGTGACTCGTTTAGTCTTCATCACAATTCCTTGAGGAAGGTAACATTATCCCCACTCCACAGATAGGAAACTGAGACACACAGAGCCTAACTTAATTCAGGTCCTGCAGCTTTTAAGTGGCAGAGCCAGATCAGAAACTGAGGCAGCCCAACTCCAGGCTCATTGCACTTAGTCGGTGTCCTATATTGGTCACAGACTGTCAGCCTGAAGGGACCATCGAGGACAGCCCAGTCTAGGCTCATTTTACAAGTACCCCAAAAAGGGAGGAAACCAGTCTAGATTTCACCCACACAGCTGCCTGAGAGCCAGGGAGGTAAAGTGAGTTTGTCAAGCATGCAGGTAGAAGACAATAGGGGCCAGGCGTGGTGGCTCACACCTGTAATTCTAGCACTTTGGGAGGCCGAGGTGGGTGGATTGCCTGAGCTCAGTAGTTCAAGACCAGCCTGGGCAACAGAGTGAAACCCAGTCTCTACTAAAATACAGAAAACTAGCCGGGCGTGGTGGTGTGCGCCTGTAGTCCTAGCTACTTGGGAGGCTGAGGCAGGAGAATTGCTTGAACCCAGGAGCTGGAGGTTGCAGTGAGCCAAGATTGCGCCACTGCACTCCAGCCTGGGCAACAGAACAAGACTCCATCTCCCCCCACCCCCAACATACACATGCAAAGACAATAGGAAGTGAAGGAGACTGGGACTGGGACAAACCACCTAAAAAATTAACACCCAGTTGTCGTAGGAGATAAGATAGCAAAGTCAGATACATCCATGGGCCCCATTCCATTCAAGGGACACCAGTTTGCAAAGCTCTGGAAACTTTGCCTGCTGTTTGGGTATCGTGAGTCACATGAATAAAGAACATCCGGGCTAGGGCCATTGACATCGTCAGTGATACACAGAAACCCTGGACCCCTCATGGCTTCGCCTTGGGGCTCGGCACATTGTAATAAGGAGCAGATGGCCCTGTGGCATCCCAGAGTCACCTTCTGGGACTTCAACAGGTGGCTTTGAGTCAAACTGGGCCATGTTAGCAGGGAACAACCCTCTGGTGCCGGCTCTTCAAGCCACACCACGTGTGCAGCAGTTCCGCACAGCATAACTGGGGTGGGAGATGGGAGAGGAACCTGTGATTGTCATGCATACATGAAAAAGCTGTCATGAGGAGCAGTAACTTAGGGTTGTTTAGTTTGGTCTTGGGGGTGGGCATGGAACTGGGGGTAGGAAACCATATGGAGGCAAGTTTCAACATGGTATCAAACTATCTGACTGATGAAACTGTTCAAAACGGACAGTCTTCTCCCCCTTAAAGTAGTGAGCTCTTGGTCACTGGTGACATGGAAATGGGCAACCATTTGGAATGGATGTCCTAGAGGTCTCAGGAACTAAGCCTGAGCTGGGACATCCACCGAATGGTTTTAAGATGATGTGTCTTTGCCATTGACACTGTTCTCTGTGCTTTCTTCCAGCTGGTTATGCAGTATCTCTACTACGGTGGCCCAGAGTCACTGCTCATTAAGAACAATGAGATCATGGAGGTAAGGGATCCATCGTGGTGATGGCTGTCACAAGTCCCTTGGGTGAGTGGCACCACCAGAGGTCGCCAGCGTGCAAGGAAGTGTCTGGAAGGACCCGTGTTGGGTTTTCATTTGGATGAAGACTTGGGGCTCTTGTTCCGTCCTGACTCCTCAGTCCTCCCAGACAGGAAGGGCTTCTCATCAGAGACCTTCCCTGGCAGGCTGGGGTGCTAGTGCACTTGCTTGCCTGACTGCTTTCAGTAGCCACTGAGTGAAACCCAATTTTAACTGGCATTGGTGGTAGTGGGGCAGGGAAGGGAAGGAATTTGACTGAAAAGTCTGAGGCTACAGCTGAGGCTCTAATAGTGATATCATCAGGAAATATCCTAGATGACGTCTTCTCCCTTGTCACTTATAAAAATATTATATCCCCTAAAAACATCCCTCATCACAACACTGTCTGTTCTTCCAAGATGCAGAAGTGGAGGGCAGATTACAGTCTCCTCCGGGCTTTCCTCAGACTGAGCATCCCACAGTCAGGCAGCTCACACCTGCTTCCTTCACTCTCCCCCGCCCCCTGTCCACCTCTTGTAATTCGACCAGCTCTAGCCCCGCCTATCCAGGAGCCTTGTTTCTGCCTGATTTTGTCCAAAGCCAAGATTTTCTCCTGTTCCTTGCCAAAAGTGGAAATCTTGTTCATCTTCCTAATCGAAACTGGGAACTTTGAACCAGAAGCCAAAAATCACCCCCAATTAATCCTCAGCAAAAGAGCCAGGATCACGGTCCGTTGTCTGACGTCCAGGGTGCCTGGCTGACATCCAGGTGCCTGGCTGACGAGAGATGTCAGGACACAATCAACTGTTCAAGAGCAGACCTCACACAGTGGTTACAACACGGATGCTGTGCCAGACTTGTCTAAATCCCGGCTTTAGAGCTTCTGAGCTGTGTGACTGTGGACAAGTTATTTAACCTCAAATCCTCAGCTTCCTCGCCTGTAAAATGGGGATAACTATCTACCTCATTGGGTTTTTCAGAGGATCTTAAAAAATTGTTAAGGTGCTTAGAACAATGCCTGGCACATAGTGATTGTGATTAGGACTATGTATTCACTGCAGGCCCACTGGTCCTTTCTTCTTACTCTGTGAAACCTTCTGTGGTAACTCTCTCCCCACCCAAACACGCACAAATGCAGACACACATGGACACACAGTGACTCTCTTGTCTCCCTGGACTACTCCTCTGATGGTTTTATTCTCAAGGATGTGGGCTCGTCTGTAAACAAAAGTGCGGTGGTGTTTACAACTAATTTTTTTTTTTTTTTAAACAGAGTCTCACTCTGCCCCCAGGCTGGAGTGCAGTGGTGCAATTTTGGCTCACTGCAACCTCCGCCTCCTGGGTTCACGCCATTCTCCTGCCTCAGCCTCCCGAGTAGCTGGGATTACAGGCACCTGCCACCATGCCCAGATAATTTTTTGTGTTTTTAGTAGAGACGGGGTTTCACCATGTTGGCCAGATGGTCTCGAACTCCTGACCTCAGCCTCCCAAAGTGTTGGGATTACAGGCGTGAGCCACTGCACCCGGCTGTTTACAACAAATTGATCACAACCAGTTATGAATTTCTGTGTTCCTTCTCCACTCCCACTGCTTCATTTGTCTAGCCTTAACAAAAATAAAAATAAAAATAATTTTAACTAGAAATAAGGAATATACATTTAAATCATTTCAATCATACAGAAGGGTTTTGAATACAAAGCAGCTGCCCGGGCCCACCCTGCCCTCCCTCCAGTCCCCGTTCCCAAAACCAGTCCTTTGAACTCTTGCTCTTAGCTCTTCCATCCCCTCCCCAAAGCCTGTCGTTCTCTCAACACACATCTGTTGAGCATCTCCCAGGCCGGCACTGTACTCTGGGCCAGGTTACAGCAGTGATGAAAACTGGCAGTGATGATCCCTGCCCTCCTGGACTCTAGTGAGGGAGGCAGCCATGACGTCACACCTGGTGTGCTGTGACTGTGAGGAGTGAGACAGGGCAAGGAGGAAAGGAGGATAGATGGGGTAGAGGGAGGCTCCTCTGAGGAGGCGACATCTGAGTGGAGACCCGGCCAACAGAGGGAGTGAGCCACCTCGATATCCAGCTTGCTGATAATACCCTGATTTTCACCCTTGTTTCTGGACATAATAATTTTGGGCATTTTGGGTTGACCTCCTGCTGTGATGGGTATGAATTGAGTTTGTTTAGTCCTCCCCTCCTCCCCCATCTTCCCCCACGACGGAATCCTATCTTTGTCCTCTTCCTCTAATGTTACCTTTGTGCATCATTTTCTGTCCCCCACCCTTGACGCTGCTGTGGAAGATAAGGATAAGACTGTCTTACCACTGCGGTTCCTTACTGTTACCTCCTTTCCATCCACCTCCCAGCCTCTAACAGACTCTCTTTGTTGTTTTTAGCTTCTGTCTGCTGCTAAGTTTTTCCAGCTGGAGGCTTTGCAGCGACACTGTGAGATCATCTGTGCGAAAAGCATCAATACCGACAACTGTGTGGATATTTACAACCATGCCAAGGTAATCAATCTCATTCTTGCACAGTGCGCACACAGGAGCGCTGAAGCCACAGAGGCTTTTCCTTGGCACAGAGGCAGGGCAGAGAGCGGGTGCTGGGCCAGTTCTCTGAAGGCTAAGCCGCTGGCTTCTGCCAAGATCTGCTTCCTGCTCTGGAAAAGATGCCTTCCACCTCCCCACCCAGAACAAGGAAGGGAGGAGCCCAGAAGTTTCAAAGGCAGAGTTCTCAAACAGTGCTTCGCAAACTCTCGCGTGCATATGACTCATGTCACAGACTCCGGTTCCATAGACTGGGATGGGCCTGTTTAGCTTTTCTGACAAGCTCCCAGGTGATGTCTCTGCTGATGATCTAAGGGACACCTTCTAAGGTTCTAGAACAGTGGTTCTCCAATCCAGCAGCACCAGGGAACTTGTCGGAAAGGTACATTTTCAGGCCATACCCCAGACCTACTGAATCAGAAACTTGAGGGGGACCCAGCCACCTGTGGCTTTGCATGCCCTCCAGCTGATTCTAATGCGTGCTCAGGGGTGAGAACCGCCCTTCCAGAATTGTTCTCAATGCCAGCTGCATGTTAGAATCACCTGGGGACTACTTAAACTTCCTATGCCTGGGACCCATCACAGACTAATCAGTCAGCCTCTGGGAGTGGAACCTGGAGAAAGGCAGCTTTCAAAGCTTCCCAGGTGATGCTCAGATGTGGCCAAGATTGAGAACAGGCTGTAAGCACTGCTGAAGTCTTTGGCGTCTGCTTAATCAGGTGGACCCAACACCTGGCTACGAATTAGAATCACCTGGGGGAGCTTTCGGAATGCCAGTGTAGTCCCCCATCCCCGATGACCTCAGCAGTATCCCCTCAGGGAGCCCAGAAATCTCTATTTTTAACAAGCTGCTAGAGTGACATCAGCCCTCAAACCAGTCTTCACTCCAGTTTTCAGGAACCACTGATTTCATCCAATTCACTTCATCAGTGGGGAGACTGGGCCCAAGAGAAGTAAAATACTTTGTCCAGGTACCACTGCATTTTGTTCCACGTGCTGAGCACAGGGGGCATTAACAGTTCCAGCAAGAAACAATAAAACCCGTTAAGATGAGGAGTTAGGTTGATTGATTGATTGATTGATGAGATGGAGTTTCACTCTTGTTGCCCAGGCTGAAGTGCAATGGTGCAATCTAGGCTCACTGCAACCTCCTCCTGGGTTCAAGCAATTCTCCTGCCTCAGCCTCCCAAATAGCTGGGATTACAGGCATTAGCCACCGCACCCAGCCAAGATGAAGAGTTATTTTAGGAGTTTACAACAAAATTTTCCTGTTTTATATAACTGGAGCCCAGTACACATGACTCCCATATCACACACAGCTCTGGACAGTAACAGTGCACGTGAATGACGCTCCTATTGCTTGTTGCGAAAAATCAGATTGCATGTGAGATGCTACTTGCTTAAGACAGCATTCAGTGAGCCCTTTTAATGTGCAGGCACCTGTGCTAAGAGCCTTGTTGCATCTTGTTTTTTAATGTTCACTACAACCCTTTTAGGTAAATGCTACACTAGTCCCATGTCATCATAAGGAGACTGAAGCACAGAGAGATGAAGTAGCTTGCTTAAGGTCACACAGCTAGTAATGAGATTTCTGTATTATGGTAAAATGTACATAACATAGAATTTGCCACTTTAACCATTTTTAAGTATACAGTTCAGTGGTATTAGGTACATTTGATTGTTGTGCAACCATCACTACCATTCATCTATAGAATTTTTTCATCTTTCCAAACTGATACTATACCCTTTCAACACCAATTCCTCATTCCTCCCCTCCCCCAGGCCCTGGTATTCACCATTCTACTTCCTGTCTCTATGAATTTGACTACTCAAGGGATGTCACATAAGTGGAATCATACAGTATGTGTCTTTTTGTGACTGATTTATTTCACTTAGCATAATGTCCTCAAGGTTCATCCATATTGTAGCATGCGTCAGAATTTCTTCTTTAAGGATGAATAATATTTCACTGTATGTACATGCCATATTTTGTTTATTCATCTATCAATAGACACGTTGGTTGCTTCCACTTTTTGGTTATTGTGAACAATATTGTGTTGCTGTGAACATGGGTGTACAAATATCTGTTCAAATCCCTGCCTTTTTTTTTTTTTTTGACACAGAGTCTCGCTCTGTCACTCAGGCTGGAGTACAGTGACATGATCTCGGCTCACTGTAACCTTTGCCTCCCAGGTTCAAGCGATTCTCCTGCCTCAGCCTCCTGAGTAGCTGGGACCACGAGCATGCGCCACCATGCCTGGCTAATTTTTGTATTTTTATTAGAGACAGATGCTTGCCATGTTAGCCAAGCTGGTCTTGAACTCCTGACCTCAGGTGATCCACCAGCCTCAGCCTCCCAAAGTGCTGGGATTACAGACGTGAGCCACCGCGCCTGGCCTCAAATTTGTGCTTTCAGTTATTTGGAGTATATCCCCAGAAGTGTAGTACTGAGACTTTTGAACCCAGATTTGTCTCACTCCAAAGCATAGGTTCTTAACCCTGTGTTTACTGTCTGGCTTAATAAATGTTGGAAATATTTTCAATAATCCTTGATACTCAAGATTTTCTGATTGGCTATCAGTAAATCAAAAAGTACAGTCAGTCTACATTGTACACACACACACACACACACACACACACACACACTTGGGTTCTAGTTAAATGAGGATTATACCAAAATCTGGTTTCTCAGGACACAAGCTTTTTTTTTTCAATCTTAAACTGATTACTTTGCAGAAGAGAGGTCTCTTTCTCTGCACCAAGGCAGAGAGCCTGATTAGCCTTGTGCTCCTCTGCGCTCCTCTGCCCTCCTCCTTGACCATGGTCACTCAAATTGCCCCATGAACTTGACATCCACGGTGGCTTTTCTGTGGCCTACCACCTTGGCAGCGAGGCCTGTTTCACAATCGCATTTTAATCTTTTCAAGTTTGTTGGCAGGCAGCTTCTGTAGCATATCTTGTGATTTAATAATGTCGCCTGATGCAATGTGAGCCCCGCTGGGAATACAGGCTTAGAACACCTATGGCAGAGAAACTGCCTCTTTCATACATACATATATACATATATATATACCTACAGACATGCTTTGCAGACAGGGCTTTGGCTTTTACGGACACCAGCTCTGCCTCAGACGTCCAGGCCACTACCTGGAGTGTTTCCAAGAGAAATATCTGCCCTTCGTGATAGTCACCTGGAGGGCAGTGCAATGCCAGCCGCCCCCTGCCCTTTCTGTGCACTGCTTCCCCTGTGCTGTGGATGCTGCAGTCTGCTAACGGCCACACACCATGTGGATTCGATGACTGGCAGATTGTGCTGCAAATAGAGGCTAGTTTAGGAAAAAGAGTGATAAAGAGAGAAACCAACACTTAGCATTTGTAACTCCAGGCAATACAGGCGTTTAGATGCTAAGAGCCACGTTCCAAATGTCGACGACCTCCACAACGTTACCTCTGTATTACATCTAACCGCTTAAGACAGCTGCAGAATTTTATACAGAGGAGAAACCCATTCCACAAATGCATGGCTTAGCCATCTGTTTTTTCCTAGTAAACCTGTACCAAACTATTCAGTTATGAAAAGAGGCCCTGGAGCTTCTTGTGGCCCTTTCAGCGTGTCTCTTGAGAAGAAGAACAAGCTGGTTCATCAGACTGAATTTCAGCTGTTGTGGTTAAGCTCAACAGTGCATCATGATGGAAAGAACACAGGTTTGGAAACCAAAGGATTTTTTCGCTAGTGTTTATTGAGTAGCCAGTATTTCCTAGGAGCTGTATTCATCAGAATATAATACAATATTCTGAATATAATATAATATTCAGAATATAATACGAAATTAGAGGAGCTGGGCGCAGTGGCTCACGCCTGTAATCCCAGCACTTTGGAAGGCTGAGGTGGGAGGATCACTTAAGGCCAGGAGTTTGAGACCAGCCCGAGCAACATAGTGAAACCCCATCTCTATAAAAAGAAATACAAAAAAAAAAAAAATTGCTGGGCATGCTGGCGCGCACCTCTAGTCCCAGCTACTCAGAAGGCAGGAGGATCACCTGAGCCCTGGAGGTCAAGGCTGCAGTAAGCAGAGATCATGCCATCATACTCCAGCCTGAGCCACAGGGTGAGGCTCTGTCTAAAAAAAAAAAAAAAAAAAAAAAAAAAAATTAGACATGGTCTCTGCCCTTGAAAAAATTACAGTCTAGGACAAGGGCCAGATAATATTTTCAACTTTCCAGACCACACAGTTGGCTTTGTACCTACTCAATTTTGCAAAAAGCAGCGAAAGAATATGTAAATGAATGGTATGGTATGGCTGTGTTCCAATAAAACTTTATTTATAAAAACAGGTGGTGGGCCATATTTGGCCTTCAGGCCTATAGTTTACCAACCACTGGTCTTGGGAATGAGAGCTCCAATCCCAGTTCTGTTAGTAATTAGTTGTGTGGAGATAGGCCAGAGGTTGATGTACAGTCACCATTCAATAAATACTATCAAATATTATCAATATAGGTATATATTATGCTTTTATTTTCCACTAACATGTGCTGAATGACACTAATCTACAAAGCAAGTGCCAGGTGTGCTGGTGGGGGGTGCTCACTGTGTCCTCAGAATCAGATTGGCAACTCTGAGCCTCAGTTCCCTCACCTGTACCAGGAAGTCTTGTACTCTGTGATTCTAAGAGCAGGATTCATGTTGAAAGAATGAAAAGATTTCTAAGCCAGGTGCAGTGGCTCACACCTGTAATCCCAACACTTTGGGAGGCCCGCCTTGGAGGCTGAGGCAGAAGAATCACTTGAACCCTGGAGGTGGAGGTTGCAGTGAGCCAAGATCATGCCACTGCGCTCCAGCCTGGGCAACAGAGTAAAACTCTGTCTCAAAAAAATAAGAATGAAAGGATTGCTAAGATCTCTCTCAGTTCCAGAGTTCCAGGATTTGTGCATCTATATGGACATTTGTGGGATAACTAGTCCACTCACTGATAAACTTCATCAAGCTTTATAAGCCTCTTGGAGACCACAGAATTACTACATGCATCCCTGTCCTAAATGGCACAGCAGAGCACAATACCCCTGTAGTCCACCCCTTGCTTTTGTAACTTGGAAAACTGAGGCCCAGAGAAGTGATTTGATTGGCACGAGGCCAAGGAATGGAGGAATGGACTCCAGCCCTTTGAGAGAATGAGCTGCAAAGTCACACCCCATGGGTGTGTGCTGGGGAATCAGAGACATTCTGCAGCCAGTCTTCCTTAGCAGGTGTGCGCCATTATTAGCTCTGAAGGCATAATCTGAAAGGTGCTTTTCAGAAGCATAACCATCTCCCATTTCCTCTCCATTCTCCACAGTTTCTTGGCGTCACGGAGCTCTCAGCATATTGCGAAGGCTACTTTCTCAAAAACATGATGGTCCTCATTGAAAACGAAGCATTCAAGCAGCTCCTGTATGACAAAAATGGTGAAGGGACCGGCCAGGATGTGCTCCAGGACTTACAGAGGACGTTGGCCATCAGAATTCAGTCCATTCACTTGTCATCTTCCAAAGGTTCCGTGGTTTGAAATGCCCAGTGCAGCGAATGCTTCCCAGGAACCTTCCAGTTCTCCTGCCGCATTGGCTTTACACAAACACAGACAAATTCCACCTGGCACCTGTTTTTGGCTGGGCCAAGGAGCTGCCTCTACTGCTCCCACGTGTTCCTGTTGAAAAACAAAGGACTTTCCACCGGTCTGCAGATCAGATCAGCTGGGTCCAGAGCTTAATGGGCAACTGGACAACCAAGTTAACCCCAACCGAAAGCACCCCTAGGACCTTTGAACACCCACTGCCGGGGACCACTGTCGAATGAATGGATTGAGGCCTTTCAAAGGTCACTCAGGTTCCAGGTTGACAGTTGGAGGACTTCACCATACCGATCCTGAAGAGATTGTATTACACATTGAGGACCTTGGTAGCTGTGCTTCAGCAAACGTCAACCATGGTAGCAAATTGGTGAGGCTGTGACCCATAATGAGGAAATAATTTGGCAAATTTTTAGGGGTGGGAACTTTTTAAAATGTTCATTTAAAAAAAACAAAAACAAAAACAGGGCAGTCTTGTAGTTTAAAATATATTTCTAAAAGCTTAACAGTTCGTTTTCAACTAAATTGTGTTTAGGGATCTGTGTTTTGAGATTTTTCTTTCTTTTTTTTTTTTTTAAATAGTAAGTCACAGGTCCACACTGTGTAAACATGCATCTGATAAGATACTGCTGATATTCTAAACAAGTCGAAATAATCTTGCCTTAGTGATCATGATTACACAAAAGAGGTGCACTGCCAATAAGTATCTCTAATTCAATAGTTGAAAACAACCTGCATGCTAATCGTGGTTTCGGGGTGAGAAGAAAACACCCCACATAACATGCATTTGCATGGGTCCGAACCTGTGAAATGTTACGTTTGTGCTTCATTTTTGCCAACGTAAAAATGTTCCATCATTTCTAGCTAAAACTCCATTTGGTGAAACTAACATATCCATTTCTTTTCCTAGTTATGGATGATTTGGGGATGCTTTTGCAGAAATGTGTTCATAGATGATGCTGAATTGGGGGGAGGGGGGCAGCACGTCAGAGAATTTACTATTAATCCCAGAGTTTTCTCTGTATTCTCAGAAGATGTTAATAGTTTGTTACTAGCCAGAGAGTATGACTATGTTAGATTATTTTTAAAGATGAAACATGTATGATAGGATGGATTCTTTCTGTATTCTGAGAGTGTACAGTATAGGATTATTATAATGAAAGTTTATATCAACAGGGTTTCGTTGGCTCTGCCATATATTATAAGCAAAAGAGATTGGTAAAGTGCCACAGTATTCCAGATAACTTTTCAGTTGCGGCCTTTCTTCTCGTTCTTTAATTTGAAACCTAGATACATGCAGTAAAAACTAGGAGAATGACTTTTACCCTTGGGGACGGCCAAGTTTTGTTGATAAACCTATTTCCTAGCATGCCTTCAGGAAGTTGCGCCAGACCCTAGATTGTGAAGGAGCCACTGTTCTTCTGTTGTACGAGCTCCCTGAACCATTGTTCAGAGGACCAACGTAACATCGCTTCATGGGCATGGCCCATGGAGCATCTGGGTGACATCTGTCTACAGTATTGGCTCTTCTGCGAGGCTGATACACAAGGCCTCTCTTCCACATGGTCATTTGCAAACCTACCCCAGCCCCTACCATCCAATGTGGAAGGAAAACAAGAACTGCCTGAAGAAGAGTCCAAGCTACATACACAGCGTGTGCATCGCGGCTGTCACCTTCTTCCTCCCTCTTCTGTATCCTCAGAGATGCTGCGTGGATGTTTCCTTAACCTCAGCTGACTTCCCTGTGAATGTCTTAATGCTAGTTCAGGGCCTCCAGGCATTGATTTGTACAGTGGCAACTCCCAATGGGGCTTCTGTTATCATTTGTGTGCTTTCTCTGTCATTAAAAGAAATGATTTTCCCAGGCCGTGCACCATGTGTGTGGTTTGAGTGAGCTCTTTATCCCAACAGTTCAAGCCTCAGAACTTCACTCGGTGAAGAGATTGGACAATGTGGTCCCACAGAAAAAGTCAAGGGAAATGAAGACGCTAGATAAAAGACAAATGTTCCTGTTGCTGCTGTGTGGCAGCCAAGCCCTAGTGATCTTTTTCACATCAGGCAGAGAAGCTACAGGTGCCACCACCTGGGCCACCGCCATAGCACTGCCTAAGGCAGAGAACTCGCCTGCAGAGGGTAGAGTTCTGGCTGTCACTCGTGTGCCTGGATGACACTTTTTGAGGATGGGGGGATGAGAAAGACAAGTTATCTCCACGTGGTGGGTCCCCACCAAGGGCCAGCGTGAGCTGATGCTAGGGGATGGTGGCAGCATTATGGGATGGGGGTGGGGGTCACGGAGGGACAGGCAGCTCTCTTCCTGGGTGTCATCATTGCTGAGGTCAAACCAAGTCCCCAGGGTCTCTGCTGTGGCTCCTGACCCAGCCTGGGCCCAACCCAGGCATGTGGGCAGATGAATCGCCCTGGCCAATCCACAAAAGCCTACAAGCAGGTCTGGGGAGAGGCCCAGCCAGCCGTGGGAGACCTGGGCCAGTGAGGCCCGGTAGAGAGCTCACAGCGCCCCACCTCCCGGAAATGACTGCTCAAGCCCGCTTAGCAATCCAGGTCTGTTCCTTCTCTAGGAAGCAACCCAGTGCCAGGGCCAGAACTGTGAGTCAGGCCAGGAAAGCAGAAGGTCGGTTTGTTTTTGACTGTGTGTCGCCCTCGGTGTGGCCTCAGGGTGAGTAGGCATTTTTGACTTATTGCTTTTAGGATGCTAAAGTGCATGCTACCCCATTCGCCTTGTACTTGTCTGACAGGTGGCTTTGACATTCAGGCCTCAGCAAAGCCCATGCAGGGGCCCATTAGCATCTTAGGGTGTGGAGGAAAGCGTGGGGCGGGGCGGGGTGGGGGGGCGCTGCCTGCCACAGGTTCCCTCCGCCCCTTCCATTTGCAATGGGGCACTGGAAGGAGTGTGTTCGTGCAGGCGCCCCCAAGAAACACAAGGACCCGACTTAGTTTCTGTGCCCACCCCCATGGCCATTGGTCTTACATATACCATACCTGGATATCATTCATTCTCCTCAAAAGAAGGAGAATCCACTGAAAATGAAGATCAGGATGTGAGCTCCCATCACGGAGATGCCCAGGCAGAAACCGGAAGACGATGCCGTCAGGCATGGGGGCGGGGTTGGAGGAGGAGCTCTGGGACCTCCCCCACCCTGAGATTCTGCGATTCTGCTTTTGTTCTGTGTTCCCCATTCTGCGATCCTGCTTTTGGATCTCACATTGTTTCTTCCTGTAAAGCCCCAGGCAAAAAGTGCTATTCGACTGCATGTTGTCATACCAAGACTTTTATCACACAGTGTTTTGCTAGCATCGGGCTGTGTGGATAAAGGGTTCTTTGAGAAAATCTATTTCACCAGTCTTGAGTCCTCTGGCTTCAGAATTCAGCGTCCATCTCCCTCCACCCCCACCTTGCGTCAGAGATGAATGAATAGTCGCAGAAGGGCTCACATTCTCCCACTTATAGTTCTTTCTGCCTGGCCCCTACACAGCCTCCATGGCCAGCAGTTTCCTGGGTTTCTCCACTCAGGGAGACATCTATTGAGCACCTTCTGTTGGCAGCACTGATTGCTGAGCCCTGGACTCCAGCACAGACCTGAAAACCCTGTTCCGACTGGATTCAACCCCTGACTAGCTTTGAGACTTTGGACAAGTTACTTACTCTATCTAGTATTCACCTTCCTCTTTCAAAAAAAAAAAAAGGGTTTAACTATAACTAGTGGCCGGCCGCTGTGGCTCACGCCTGTAATCTCAACACTTTGGGAGGCCAAGGTGGGCAGATCACTTGAGATCAGGAGTTCGAGACCAGCCTGGCCAACATGGCACAACCCCATCTCTACTAAAAATACAAAAATTAATGGGGCGTGGTGGCAGGCACCTGCAATCCCAGCTACTCGGGGAGGCTGAGGCAGGAGAATCGCTTGAACCTGGGAGGCAGAGGTTGCAGTGAACCAAGATTGTGCCACTGCACTCCAGCCTGGGCAACAGAGCGAGACTCCGTCTCAAAAAGAAAAAAAACCACTATAACTAGTGAATAGTGTTGTTGGGAGGATTAAAGGAGATAGTTTGTATGAGTCTCACACTGTTAATAGCAGGCAAAAGGCTTTTCTAAACTTCTAAGACTGAGCAGAAGGAAGGGGAAATTGATGATTCATACAAGGAAAGGAAGGCTAATGACTTTGCCTTCATTTCTAGAACTTTCTACAGCAGCGGTTCCCATGGTGATTTGTGATTCTCTAGGGTTTTGCTACTTATTCTGAGGAGTATAGGAGAATTCCCCCACAACTGAGCTCTTTTGTGATTCTAGTTCCTAGCACAGTGCTTCACACAAAGTAATCAAGAAATGTTTGCAAATAGAAGCCAAGTACACCTGGATTTCCTTTCATATAAACATGATATTTTCAAAAGATTAGAGTTGCAGGGATTCACTCTTCCAAATTCCTTGGAAGAGAATACACAGGAATGTGAGATTCACATGTGTGACTTGGATGACACAAGACTCCCATGGTGTGTGTCTAAGGTCCAAGACCCCACAAATGGCTGAGCAGGGCCCACACCCACCAGAGCCAACTCTCAGTCCAGGGTTTAAGGACCATGACTCTGTCGAGAGGGAGAGGGTAGCCACAAACCCCAAATGAAACAAACTGCTAGATATCCCTCCAGAAAAATCTGGGACTGCTGTCCTCCTCAAGTTAGCAGGCAAGCCCATATGCCCTGTGCTGCCACTTGAGTGTGTGGACACTCATCCCCGCCCCCACTCCACCAAGAAACCTCCCTGGTGGAACTTCACGTCACCTCCGTTCCTTCCAGCCTGGCCAATGCCTTGAATAAAGCAGCACGTGCCTTTGGCTGGGGCCACTGTAGAAGCTGCTATGATGCCTATTTTTTCCACCCTCTTTAAAAATAACTCAACAGATTTTGAACTTCCTGCTTGGCAGAAAAAAAATAGAACTCATACTCAGCAATCACATCGTGCTTTAGTTCCCATCACTGATGAGGCAGGCAGATAACGAGTGCCCTGTGAAAGGACACATCTCCAAGTTTAGCCCTGAATCTGAAAAGACAATCTGTCTGTGTGAATAGGCAATTAGAAGAGATGCCCTGATGTCACTGATGCGTTCTCTGGATGTTGCTTTTCAGAGTTAACCTTCAGATGAGTTCTGAATTTTAATGCTGTGGAAAACCTCTGGGATGAAGAGCTACAAAGGGAAGAGGCTGATTGGTACAATGGAGGGGCTCTGTGCTGGGCACCACATCTCACCCCTGACCCTGAATCTGTCATCTGCTACCTGGGTGACCTTGTTCAGGCCTCTTCTCCATCTGGACCTCTTTCCTCAACTCCTTCTAACTTGATGTCCTGTGAGCCTAGACCAGAACCTGTCACACTCTCCTTACCACGCTCCTATATTAGAGCCTTGTGAGAACATCATTTTGTGTAATAGAACATTCTAGTTTGCAACCAGGAGGATTTAGCAAAAAGGACCTTTTTCATCATTTCACAATGATGCCTTCAGCAAAACAGGCTCCCAGCAGGAAACCAGATAAAGCGTTAGAATGAGGCTTCAGCTATCTTATCATGAAGATGGCATCTCTCTAGATCATTGCTACATGACTACCATCTCCTTTTTGGTTTTGGGTTTTGTTTTGGTTTTTTCACTTTTTATTTTGAAACAATTACAGATTCGCAGGAAGTTGCAAAGATAATATAGAGTAACCAAATGGTGACATCTTAGATAAATCTAGTACAATATCCAAACCAGGAAGTTGACATCGCTACAATGTGTGTGTATCATTCTGTGACATCTTGTCAGGTGTGGATTCATGTAACCACCACCAAGGTCACTATTCTCTCACTACAAAGATCTCCCTCATGCTACCCCTTTGGAATCACTCTGGCCCTTCCTCCACCAACTTCATCCCAAACCCCTGACAACCACTAATCTGTTTTCCATCTCTATAGTTTTGTTATTTCAAGAATGTTATGTCAATGAGACCATATAGTAAGTGGCCTTTGGAGATTGGTGTTTTTATTATTATTATTGTTGACACAGGGTCTCGTTCTGTCACGCAGGCTGGAGTGCAGTGGTGCAATTTCAGCTCACTGCAACCTCTGCCTCCCAGGCTCAAGAATCCTCCTGACTCAGTCTCCCAGGTAACTGGAACCAAAGACATGAGCCACCATGCCCAGCCAATTTTTATTGATTTATTTATTTATCTAGGTAGAGATGGGGGTTTTACCATGTTGCCCAGGCTGGTGTCGAATTTCTGGGCTCAAGCAATCCTCCCACCTCAGTATCCTGAGTAGTGGGACCACAGGCATGCACACCACTATCAGATCACTTTTTCAAAAATTTTCTATTAGGGACAGGGTCTCGCCACGTTGCCAGGACTGCTCTCAAACTCCTGAGCTCAAGCAATCTGTCTGCCTCAGCCTCCTAAAGTTCTGGGATTACAGGTGTTAGCACCTCAAACGGCGAGGCTGGCTTTTTGCACTCAGCAGAATGCCTCAGAGACCCATCCAAGGAGGCTGCACATATGGAATGTTTGTTCCTTTTCATTGCTGAGTAGCATTCCCCAGCATCCCATCACCTTTTAACCAGAGAGAGAGACAGGGGCTTTCTCTGTCACCCAGGCTGGAGTACAGTGGCATGGTCACAGCTCACTGCAACCTCAGCCTCCCCAGGCTCAAGCAATCCTCCAACCTCAGCCTCCAGAGTAGCCACGGGTGGGAGTCTCCACGCCTGGCTAATTTTTTCATTTTTTATAGAGATGAGGTTATACTATGTTGTCCAGGCTGCTCCCAAACTAGGTCTTTCTGTAATTGACAACTTCTAGACATCTCACTAATGGTGTAGGGCAGTGCTTCCC